AAGTGATACTAGAAATTCAGACATGCCAAAGAGCAGATATAAAATGCTTTAAGTGAAAGGGACAAGTAAAAGAAGATACCTTGAGAAAGACTACATCCATATAACTTTTATTGCAATATTGTTATTATTGTTCTATTTTATTATTAATTATTGTTGTTAATCCCTTACTGTTCCCAATTTATAAATTCAACTTAACCATAAATATATGTACAGAAAAACATAGAGCATATATGGGGTCTGCTATTATTTCTGGTTTTGGCCATCCACGCAGAGGTCTTGGACTATACCCTCCATAGACAAGAAGGGGAACCACTATATTCACAAAGGAACTTTTTTAGGGTATAAGAAGACCCTGATAATCCAAAGAACAGAAATACTGCAAATGGCTTTCTCTGCCTAAATTAATCACATTAATTTAAAACAATCAAAAGGAAATCCTGAAAACCCCCCACCCCTCCCACAATTAACTCTTTAGTCAAAGGAGAAATACAAAAGTTTAAGCACAACATATCAGAAGTTTTAGAATATAAGTAATGCAGTCATTAAAGCAGTAAAAATTTAAAAATATTAACTAAATATCCCATACTCAATGCTAACAACTTAAGGAAAAATCGGATGTTAAATACAAAAATTAATCAAAAAACAAAGAACAGTAGAGTTAATGAGTAAACACAAAATTTAGTTCTTAGAAAAACAATTTTTTGGAAACCTGACAGCATTATCTTTCTATCCATAAATGTGGAATATTTCTTCCAATTTATTTAGTTTTGATTTATTTCACTGAAATTTTATAGTTTTCCTCATAAAGATTTTGTATATATTTTGTCAGATTTATGCTTAAGTATTTCTTTATTGGTGGGGTGGTAATGTAAATGGTAATGTCTTTTTAATTTCAATTTTCAATGTATTCATTGCTTGTTCATTGTAATAGAAGAATGATAGATGTTTATTAACCTTGCATGGTGAAACCTTGTTATAATGGCTTATTAGTTCCAGGAGACTTTCTTTGTATTCTTTCAGATTTTCTAAATAAATGACTATCATCTATGGGGGAAAAATTTACATATAATTAAAACAATATAAAAGGTTGAAAGCACACACATAATGAGAATTACAATCAACAGTCATTAAAACAAAAGAACAACATCTCCTGGGAATTCTATCAAAATTTTAAAGACAAATGATCCAAATGCTAATTAAAATATTTTAGGACAGTAAATATAAGGAAAACTTGAAAATTCATTTTGTAATTTGAGTATATCACAAGGAACAATGAAAGACATATCAATTCAACTATTAATATTGATGACAAATTAAAAAAAAAAACAATTAGCAAAGAACATCCCAGAGCATATTGTTAGGGAACAGACAGATGAGGATGGTAGGGAAAAGATGAGAATAATTCTATGAAGTGGGACTGCCCTTCTGCCCACCACATGCATTCTTTGCTAAAAAGCAATTTACCTGCACCCCTGTCTGGCCCAGGTAGACAGGATATGTAACATTCCTTAGTAAACTACCTATTACCTGCAGATGAAATCCCAGCCTGAGATAATGTGGATGGGAGGAACCCAGGAGACTTTGGTGACTAGATCCTGAAACTCAAGGATATAAGAATAATTCCTTATAACCATAAAATCTGTAAGAATGTATGATTAAGAACCCAATTAGAACGGGTCAACATGGGTCAAAATGATCTACAGTTGCCATGGCAGTGGGAACTGCCATCTTGCCATCTTGATGTCATCTTGCCAAGTCAGTCAAAAGTCAAGAGATAGACCTGGTCAGGACTCTCTGAAACTTCTCTTGGATCCCCAATAAAATTGGAGTGCAGGCGAGGCACACTGTCCCTTTCCTCTCTGAGAACCTGCTCTCTCCCTTGAGAGCATCTCCTATGAAGGATATGGAAAAGGAAAACAATGGGCTCTGGGCTTTCACAATTTCCCATATCTACAAACTGTTTCCCTGACTGTCTAAAAGACATATTCTGCTATGACTTAGTCTCACCCATATAGCCCTATAAAATTCAGACTCCTATTGTAACTAGTTGCCATTTTCCTCTTGAAAATGTGCCCCTCTCTGCTTAATAAAGCATTCATGATCTGTTGAGGTCTATCTCCATTCCTTTTTCTTTCTCTTTCATTTGCTCTCATCCTGTCTCTATCCCTCCAATAATCTCACTCCTATTACTCTGAGACACAAGTCTGAAATCGTTCTGACTTGATAACAAGAATTGGGGTTTGAAGGGTGGTTCTTTGAGGTGCCTCAGTTTCCCAGAAGGCCTCAGCTCTGTAACAATATTACAGACTGATTCAAGTGGAGCCATTAATGCTTAGTGGTTCAATGTATGAAATCTATTCATATAACCTGTCATATTAGAAGAGAAAAATTATGTGATTGCCTCCAGAGATACAGAAAATGCATTTGAAAATAATTCAGTACTTGTTCATGTGTTAAGAATCCTGAAACAGGAATTAATGAATAGTTCCTTAAAATTATCATGTGCTTCATATTACACAATGATATATGTATACACACCTTTCCATCTCAGAACTAGAGTTTCCCTGTTGGAGAAATGAAACTTCTCCTCTTAAATCAAGAACAAGACAAAGATAACAGTCATCTTCATTATTATTAAGCAGTGTGTTGGAAACAATGAGCACTGAAATTAACAAAACAATAAAAGTATAATAATTGAAAAGAAAAGGGCAAAATGATGTCTAATGTAGATGATATGATTAAATAGCCAGAAAATCAAGAGAAACATTTGGGAAAATACAATAGAATAAGATAATTTCTTATTCCATTCTGCTCCTGTTTTTTTTTTTTTTTTTGGTTAACTTCTATGTATTTTTGGCTTTCCTGACACAGACTGAAAATGAGGTGGAGGCATGGTTGGGGATAGGCTCTGAACTGAGAGTAACTTCCTCTGATAGATAAAAGGAAACAAAAGCACATCTTGACAGGTACCAAAGAAGCACAGAATGGAGACTGTCCCCCTTAAACCTGTCTCACACAGGATTATTAGGCATATATACATTTCCTGACTTTGTTTCTTTTTTCTTTTTTTTTCCTTACTGTTGTCCTTCCTCCCCTGCTTCTTCTTTAAAAGTTCTCAATTTCAGGGATTTCAAATGTGGAATATTTTGAAAGAGTTTTCTTGTTTCTTCAAAGCTGAGTCTGAATAAAACCTATTTTCCTACCAATTTGACTCTGAATATATCATGGAGCAGTTAGCATTGTGGCCTACCCCATTCCTCCACAGGTGGTATCAGAGTCATTCTGTAACACTCTATTTACTAACATTCAAAACTGTGGTGTCATAACAATACTATTAATCCCACTTGTGCTTTCACAATCTGCTTCTATTTTATATTTTGCCAAGAGAACCCTTATCTAAGCAGTTGCTAAGTCATGTACATTTTGTCTTTGAAATGTCCATTCTAGCAATCATCTTTTTTTCTGTTCCATTGCCAACACTCTCAATTGTTTACCCTTCTCATATATCTTATCAATGGCTGGTTGCCTACTTGCTTGGTGAGGCTACTCTTGTTTAATATGTAAATTCCTTGATATAAAGTCCCAACTTCATGACCTGTTTTTCTAGAGTGGGCCCTTATTTTAGGTTTCCAGATATACTTCTGCCTAATCTTTTAATAGCACATTGTTTAGCTGGACCAGACTAATGGGTGTTTCTTATATGCCTGTACTTGCAACGCAGTATATTTTGGAATGATCATCCTAAACATTACCATTTGTAACAAGCATCCTTTCTCTAAGTTACTCTATAAGAATAATAATGTGTGTTAACATTTAGGCATTGTGTTAAATATTTAGTATATATTGTTTTGTCCTGTATCCACAGATGTGGTCAGGTGCAGTGGTGCATTCCTGTAACCCACTTAGGAGACTGAGTTAGGAAGATCCAGTTTGAGCTGCATCAGAAACTTAGGGAGACCCTGTTTCAAAATTAAAAAAAAAAAAAGGACTGGGGATATAGCTCAGGGGTAAGAGCTTTATTTAATTATTTTATTATTTAAGCTATGTGAGGTAAAAATGATATTAACACATATCTCTTTGTCACTTGCACCACAGTTGCCATTTAATAGACATTTGCCTTATTGAATAAAGCATGGCTGCCTGAAAGATAAAAATTAATGTTAGAAACTCAACCAAGGATCTCTCCATTTATAGTGAATACGTTTTTCATTTCTTAGCAGTATTCCATTTGAGCAGGGGCTTTGCCTTATTACTGCTGTATTCTCAAGGCTTGGAACTGTTCCTGGCACATGCTAGGCAATTCCAATTCTACTTGTATGGCTGTAGGAAAATTAACTGGTAATGAATGATGCAAAGAAGCAAAGGCTCAACAACAGACAACATAAGCCAGGATCAGGTTTAGATCATGTTTTTGGTTTATACCTATCATATTCTATAAAAGGTTTTCTTAACTATTTATGGTTCATGGTTGCAAATTTAAAAAAAATTAATTATCCTCTGAATCTCATTTTTATAATTACAAGTTCCTTGCTGTGAAGGGAGCAAAAGTATTGGTAGATAGTATATACAAGGTCAAGAATTGGCCCAGTCTGAACCCTAAACCCCCTTAAGTATTGGAAATGTGATAAATCAATCCGTTACTTATTATTAACTTTACGTTCTTACAGATTATGCTGTATAGCAATTCCATAGCTATTATTTCCTTTGGGCCCAAGCCTAGAAAGGTTAGCTTTCAGTAATCAGAAATTTCTATGTTAAAATGCAAATATTTAAAACTGGTATCACGAACCCTTAGTTTTTAAAACAGCTAAGGCAGTCTGTAGAAACAAAACATTAACAAGAATTGGACCAAGGTTGAAGGTGGAAAGCAAAGGAGCGCAATGACGGTGTACATGTGACGGCTTTAAGAGACCTGGGCAGCCTCCCTCCAGAACCTCCCAAAAGGCTAACTTTGACTAGCTTTGATAGAGCGGGGAGAGGACCACGCGTTTTGTACAGACCTGCTTCCAAACACGACACATAAGAACAGACTCCAAACCATCTTGGCTTGCTGCTGTTTTTAACTTAAAATGAATAGCACTCAAGCAACCAAGAAGCTTCAGTCCCAAACCACCTGACACAAGAATCGAGAAAAGAGGGTGGGCTATTTCCTCCGTGGCACTAAAGAAGGGAACTGACAACTGGAGGAGGCGGGTCTGATTTAGGACCCCGCCCTCTCCCTGCTCATCTCTGATTGGTGGCAGCGTTTGGAGGGGCGGTTTCACAGACGAGGCGCTCCTGTTGGCGCGGTCCCTCCCGCGCTGTGGGTGTGTCGCGGTGGGCGGGTGCGCGCGCGCTCGCGTCGGAGGACCGGAAAGGAGGCGGGGCCGCGGCTGCGCGCGCTCCCGGAACGTGCGCACCGCAGGCGGCGCGGATCGCAGGTCCGCTGCCGGAACCGGACTCCGGGTGCCTGTGTGGCGACAGGGCTCGTGAGAGAAGGTCGCGATGAACACGGTGCTGTCACGGGCGAACTCCTTGTTCGCCTTCTCGCTGAGCGTGATGGCGGCGCTCACCTTCGGCTGCTTCATCACTACCGCCTTCAAAGACAGGAGTGTCCCGGTGCGGCTGCACGTCTCGCGGATCATGCTGTGAGTGCGGCCGAGACTGGGGCTAATGGGGCAGGGCACCTGGACCCGGCCTGGCGGGGGCCGCAGCCGGGCCGAGGAGCGGGGGACGCAGGCAGGACTACCGCGCTGTCCCCAGGGTCCCCTCCGGAGCAGCCATTCACCCCTAAGGCAGATGTCCGGGGTGGACTTGCGGGCTCCCCCGGTTTTCCCGGCTTCTCCTCGAAACTCGCCCCCCTCCGTCGTAAATTCCCGGGCTTGCTCTTAAATTTTAATTTTGAGTTGCTCCGGTCGGTGCCTCCGCTTCCTTCCTGTTCCTCACTTCCCTCACCCACGCCTGGCCAATGAGGGAGCAACACAACAGCAAACCCGCGCCGCCGCCCGGGCCGCCGCCTCCCGCGCGTCCCGGGGCCGGTGGGTCCTCACACGTCCCGAGGTGCTGCCGCCGCGCGCGGGTCGGCGTCGGGCCTGGCTCCGGAGCTCCGTGACGCTTGGGGCTGAAGCAACTTGCAGGACGGCTTTCGTGCCATCGATAACCGGGGTTTGTCCTGTTTGACATTCCCTTTGCAGTTTTTGTCTTTCCACCTTCAGAATGCAATAAATACTTGGAGCAGCTTGGAAGTTAGGACGGAGGTTAAGATGCACTGAGAGAATTTTGAACATCTTAGCCTTCTGATGCAGCCTATTCTTGTTTTTCTAATTTATTTGCATTTTTTTAAAGCAAAACTTTGCTTGAATAAATCTGCGAAGACGTCAAAAGTAGAATTTTGGAATCACAGTTGCATTTCTTTATTGCCTATTTGCTTTTTTTTCTTTTGTATTTTTACTTTGAAATTCTCCACCACTTTTGTCTTTGATTTGTGACATTTTTGATCTTAATACTCAATTATTCTGTTCCATTTACTAACAAGATCTGCCTCCTTCTGCAGCCTTAGTTTAATTTCATTGTCAGATTCACTAACAAGTCAGTCATCTAATAGTGACTCCTTCCCCCCCACCTCCCTTTTTTTTTTTTTTTTTTTTTGTTAGATACTGTTCTAAATTCACATAGACCTGGGTTGGAAGTCAGCACTGCCATTAAGGTCTATGAGGGCTTAGAATGTGTTTGAAACATTGAATAAATGTTTGGTGTTGAGAAGGTTTCTTACTCTTCTGAACCTTAATTCCCTTTTATTCAAAATGAAGGTAATGCCTAATTGGTAGCCTTATGAAAATAATTTGAGGTAATTGTGAAAAATACAAAGTGGATTAGACATGTGGTAAAGCACTCAAGAAAGAGCAGCTGTTATTTTAGTTTTCCATACTGCCTTGTAGTCCTATGTAATCTTAAATCTACCCATCCTCCTGCTGTCACCAGTATTTAAAGTCTCTCTTTCTCTTTTTTTTTTTTTTTTAGCAGTTCTTATGTCTTCCTTTGAGTTTTACTAGAGATTTCTTAAGGTATTTGAAAATAATTGAAGACATTTTTTAAAATATTGAATTATAATATTTACCCTGTTTTCACACTAAAGATTTCTCTGGTTTTTACTTGTTTTTTTGTGGAATTGCTGTTCCACCTGTATACCAACTAGATCTTTAAATTATTATGTGAATAGTGTATGCCTTTATTATAAAGGATGGTAAAACTTTTATCTTTACTTCTAGAAAAAATGTAGAAGACTTCACTGGACCAAGAGAAAGAAGTGATCTGGGATTCATTACATTTGATATAACTGCTGATATCCTTTAAGGAAATATTTATTTTCTTTTTCTGAGATTTGGGGGACAGTGAGTACCACCCAGTTGAATCAACCAAACTTTGGAAGAAATACTGTCACATATATTTTCATCAGCTAAATAGTTTTAATACTTGTTCATACTTAGAGAAAACTGTAGATTCATGAGTTTGTTGTGTGTATGTAATTTTAAATTCTTCCTTAAAGTGATTGCAATCTATGCATGAATCTCTTTGTGAAAAAAATTAATAAAATTAGATCATTTGAATTAAAGAAGGAAAAATGTTATCAGAGCTCAGTCTGCCTGAAATATTTTATGTACAGTCTCAAAGAATCCATATCTTATGATAGAGGAGAGAAACATGTTTAAAAAGAGAATTGCATTTGTAATGGTTCAAATGGCTGTTATTGAAATGGATGTTGTTAAATCATGTTAACGTTTTGTTATTGTAGTTCTTTTTATAAGTACTGGTAGAACAGTCAAAGAAATCTTAATGAAAAGAATGACTTTAAGGGGATGGTTTAATTATTTTCTCCTTATCCTGAGTTTCCATCTCTTAACAACTCTGGTCATTTTGGCCACTTTAGTCTTATTTAGGCTTATATGTAAATATATTGGCAGTGTTGTTCTCTGCCATTTCTGACCTGATCCTATCTGCCTAAGACCCATGATTTAAAATGGTCATGGAGATTGAACAGTCTGAACTTGTGTAGAGCAACTATCTGAACAATTGAAGCAGATAATATGCCTGGGGAATTTTTCTTCAGTTCCTACTATCTTGGAATTCCTTTTAATTTTTTAGAAATGACTGAATTTATAAGTAGACTAGGAATTAGTTCTAAAGGAACTTTTTTAGGAAGTAGAATGTGCCATCAGGCAAGTCTTACTCTAAACTTTGTGTGCTTTTAAGTCTTGACATCATTTAAAAAAAAATCGATTCAAGCAGTGTAGATCTAGTATGAAAGTGGTCATTTTGTGTATCTGGAGAATAACAGTGAAATTTTCTGATATCTTCACTATATGTTACCAATCTCACTATTTATAGTTTATTTGGGTTTTCTTAATGCTACTGAAAATACTTGAAATTGTAGCTGTTATTGTAAAGAACTGTCTTAGACTTCTCAATTCCAAACAAGTGATTCTTAGTGGCTACACATAATTAAAAGTAGAATGTGACAAACCTGTTGCTATAAATATATAAATATACATAATAAAATGACAATTTACATATGATATTTAATAAGATACAAATATAAAACTCTGCTCATGTGGAGGTACCAGTATGTAGTTTAACTCTAGTTAAAAGTGTACCTCCTTCCCCCAGGCTGAATGGTACCTAGTTAGCAATCATTTGCTTCTTACCAAAGCACTTTATGTAGACATTTTGATTTCTATGGACACGTAACAAAAGGAACATACATTTTACTGTACTTGGCTAATAACTTGAACTTAGTTCATGTTTGCATATTGTTAAATAGTGGTGATTTGGTTATACTTTAGAGCTCCAGTATTTCATGAATGTCCATGAAATAATAATTCATCTTTCTTTTGGACATAGTGGGTTAATATTAGAAATCTAAATTTTGGATTTTTTGTTATTTTCTTGTTAATCAAGGTATCTTAGCTAGTAATCCTTGCAGGAGTAGGGGAGCATGCTGACCTTACATTCTTTTTTGGCTTTGGAATGGGTTGGATTTTATAAAATATTTATCCTCTGTATTATTAAATTAGTGACTCAGTATGTTTCTGGACCACCTCTCCTTTTTTTCTATTTTAGTGTTAGTATTGCTGTGGACAATTAATTGAAGATAACAAAGATCTTTTAAAAACTGTGTGCTTCCTTCTGTCTTGTGTAATCCTTAATTTGTTTACATTTAGAGAATATATTTGATTGGAATGTTAAGCAGTTGTTTCTTTATTTATCAGCAGAATATTCAACAAAAAATAATGTAAGTATATGTATTTAAGCATTTTTTTTAAATATTTTTTTAGTTGTTGATGTACCTTTATTTTTTTCATTTTTGTGTGGTGCTGAGAATTGTGCTAGGCAAGCGCTCTACCACTGAGCTACAACCCCAGCAATTAAAGCATATTTTAATAGTTACTTAAAACCTTATTCTTTATGCACAACAAATAGAAATGTTCATATATTAAAAATATCTGACCCGCATAGCTTAGTAAACACAATCATATGGAGAGGTGACTCTGCTAAGAACATTTTCTCTCTGGTAGCCTCTTTTTTTTTTTTTTTTCCTGTGTGTACTGTAGCTCCTTAGCATTGTGGCTTCCAGAATGGTGCGTATGCACAGTAATTGATAGGTATATAAGGGATATTAGCGTTTCTGTTATGTATTTCCAACAGAAAAATTTAAGCTGTATTAATAGTTGCTTTGCAAACTCACATTAAGGACATTCAGTCCTTATCAGATGGTCACATGCCATGGAAATATTCTGGAGGAAGAGAAGGAATTCTCAGTGCCCAGAGGTTGACCGTACTACCTAATATATTCATTTATTCACTTTTAGCATTTTACAAAATATTGTAGTATATAGGGGATTGTATTATCAAGTTCTAAATAATTGCTATTAAACAGAAAAATAGCTAAAAAAAAAATGTCCTGCAAAGAAAAGAAAGATTGAAGATAATGCTGATATTCCAACACATTAACAATAGGAAAATGGTAGAGCCCATATGTCTGTTCTGTTTTATCTGTTAAATCATGTTAAAGGATTAAAACAAAACAAAAAAACCCAAAACACCTCAGTAAACTAATTAAAAGAGGAGAGAATTCCATTAGTTAATATTATTTGCAATGAAAATTTGCATTAACTGTCAATGATAAATAGTACATGTATATTATATACATAATAAATAAAGGGCATGGCTTAGTTTATGCTCAAAGTAATTTATGATCAAAAACTCTTGTAGACTATTAGTGGTAAGATGAGAAATGGTGGTGCTTAACTCTGAATTACACATGAAA